TTTGATATTTAGTGGTGTTAATTTTTGATGAATTGAAAAAGTGATAATAAAGTTGTTTTGTTAAAAATCAAAAATCTCTCACTCTCTCTCGCGCTCTCTCTCGCTCTCTCTCTCTCTCGCCCTCTCTCTCGCCCTCTCTCTCGCTCTCTCTCTCTCTTTCTCTCTCTCTCTCTCTTTCTCTTTCTCGCTCGCGCACACACATACACGATGCGCAAAACTACGCATTTGAACAGTCAATAGCAAATACTTAAACTAATAACAAAACAGTAGCTGATTCAGAAGCACCAGATTGTCATAGCAAAGTCAGAATTACCTCCTCTTCTAGGTTCACGAAACGGTCGTCCATCAAATGCATTGCTGTTCTGTTGTAAGTGATCTTAAAGATTCCTAAATGCATCTACTTTCGGAAGGCCAAATAAAGTGCTTTTGCGTTCGCCTAGAAACACACAGCATCTCCCTGACATCACTGTTTCAACACTAACACAACACTTTTTTCTTTGCGTGCACATTTGGGCGGCATTATGCAAATATTTCCACATAGTGAGGTAGATATGTGGGGGTGTGTTAGAACGAGCCGTTTTAGGGGGGCGTGGCAGAGTCTTAACTTCGATAAAGTACAGTATATCTCTTTGGTTTTGAGACTTTAGTCTTTGCAACTTCAGGGATCTAATCTATGCACAATCAGCTTGTAACACTCCAAAGAGAAAGGAAAACTTGAAATCGCATCATATGACCCCTTTAAACCCCATTTTATCGTTGTTATATAGGCTAAACCCCACTTTTAACCATGGGAGAAGTACATTTCACAGTTAGAAGCGTGCACCTTGACAGAAAACAAATGAATTGGAGTTCAGATTTAATCGTACCTTTATAATCCATACAAGATAAACTTCATAGTACAGTCGACAATAATTATGCAGGACGCGCAATGCTAGAGCCGTTACGTAAACAGGTCGCATGCTGCGTTCGTCCAATCAGTGACATTGACACCGCAAATTTGAACATTAACCTGGGTTTAGGAATCATGTAGACTACAGTGTAAAATGTCAGTTTATGAATATCCAGGATTACTTGTTAATCACGAGTAAATTATGACCCGTGTGAAACGTGAAACAAGATAACCCAGGATTCAGTTCACTCAGCGTTTAGAATTACTCAGTATTAAATAGGCCTATTTCAAGTGTGAAAAGCCCTTCTGTTAGTGTAGTATTTCAGTTTAAAGGTTTTAGAATTAGATTAAGCCTTAATTATTTTATTTTAAACAATACACATAGTAGGCTACTTTTGAGGTTCTACAGTGCCTTTTGTTTCATTAATTAATATTCTTGAGAATTCCTGTTTCATTTCTGCAAAGACAAAAAAGAGGAGAAAAGGAAGAATATCACCAGAGCAACGAGGAAATGAATGTTAGTCATGAAATATACAGAAACAGAAACAAACATTGAATAATTCCACAAAGATGATTATGAAAGGGAAGCCATTTACAGAGAACAGATTAAATACTTACACTTTGTCGCGGACAGTGCATGTGGACAAAAGTAAAAAAATAAACAAAGTAAGTTTAGTTGTGTTTTATTTCATATGTAGTAGCAAAACATTTATGAATTACTGAAACATTTGTACCTTGTTCTGCCTCAGTTACAGTGAGATGAACAGGATTCAGCACCTCTCCTACAGAGCAGAAGTACCAGCCAGAATCAGTCAGTCTCAGTCCAGTCATCAGCACAGTGAAGGATCTTCTCCCATCATCACTGATCTGGACTGATGAATTCTGGGATGTGTTAGTCCTCCCCACAGTGTAACAGCTCTGATCTTCATATCTGCACCACTCTTTGAGTTTATTCTTATATCCAGAACTATAGAAACACTGAACACTGATATCACCACCTTCATGTCCAGATACACCGCTGCTCACCACAGACACATCAGGAGCTGAACACACACACACACACAAGATTATATAATACAGGAGGACTGAGAGAGTGTTTAAAATTAAGAGAATTTGGCATTATGTGATTGAAACAAATGCAAAATGTCTTACCAGATTGAATCTTGAGATAAGTCTCATTTATTATATTTTTCGGTGGTTGTTCTCTAGTCTTCACAACACAATAATAAAGTCCAGTGTGTTTGTTCTGCAGGTTTCTCATAGTCACAGTAAAGAGACTCTGATCAGGATGATCAATTACTGACAGATTCTTCTGTGTTGTGTTTGTGTATGTATTAGATTGATCAAATTCTGAGAACCAGTATTTCTTCTGCTGAGAGTATTTCTCATCATAATGACATGGGATGGTGACAGATCCTCCGGTCTGAATAGTTAATGTACGGTTTGACCAACCACTGTAGCATTCAACACCTAAACAAAATACAGTCCAGTATGTCCAACAATAAATCACTTCTTGATTTGTTGTATCTTCACATAAACAGATGAGCATAAAACCTGTCATTGCAAAATGCTATACAGAATCTATTAGAAATGAACACAGCAAAACATGCACTCTCACCTAAAATGAGCCAAAAGCCGATTGAAATGTAGAGTGTATTTTTCTTTGCATATGCGGTCATTGTGTTTCTCTTCCTGTATCTTGAAGTTGTTCTGTTCTTGAGTATTTTGACTTCCCTCTTACCCTCATATAACATTTCTCAACCGGATAAAAGCTCTCACCGGGGCGGGACCTTTTAAAAAGTGCTTATATGTACCATTTCTGTTAGCCTATGTACACTTTAGGTGCATTCTTTAGGAGGATATAGAGTACAAACAGGTAGGCTACCTTTTGAAAGGATGGCCTACCGTCCTAGTGACAGCTTTTGTCCTTTTTTTCTGAGAGTGTGGTATACAGCACCTTTAAGTTTGATTTAACAACACAGTTAAAGCGCATAATAATGGACAATCTCAGCAGAATAGATTTGAATAATCATGACAGAGAGAGAGAGGAAAAAAACTATTTTATTAGGAATTAGAAAAATCTGCCATTTGGATGAAAAGAGTGATATGCATGGGGAAAAAAACAAACAGACATTAGTAATTTAGCACACACAGATACCTTAAGTCTAGTCTGTTGAATAAGCATAAAGCAAATGCAGAATATAAAGCTTATTATCAACTCTTTTATAATAATTTGATCCTTCAGGTCGATGTGGAGAAAATTCCTCTAACGTTAGTTCTGTGACAAACAGAAACGCTCCACGTGCCATCTGAAAAATGAAAGAAAAGTGCACACCATCAACAGACAAATATGAGAACAAAATATGTTTATATGTCACACAAACACATCACATACATTTTGGATATGTGTAAAAACCATGGAAGACGTAGGCTACGTTTCAGATTTAAAAGCGTGTTCAGCACCGTTTTTACACGAAATTATGAAACAGCCTATTGTATAAACAGTGGTTTCAGCGTTTGAGAGGAAAAATGTCGAATGGTGACGGAAAGCACGTGAATTGGAGTGAAGAGATGGTTTTATTTGTACCTTTATAATCCACCGAAAAGACCATACAGGAAAAATTTAGCACACACAATGCTAGAGCCCTTACGTAAACAGGTCGCGTGCTGCGTTCGTCCAATCAGTGACACTGACACAGCAACTATGCAAATTAGAACATTAACCCGGGTTTAGGAATCATGTAGCATACACAGTGTAAAATGTTGTTTCATGTTTCACATTATGAGCAGTGTGAGCAGTGTGAAACGTGAAACAAGATAACTCAGGATTCAGTTTACCCGGGATTTAGATTGACTCCGTCCGCGGATTGAATATTAAGTGTTAAAAGCCCTTCTTTTAATGTATTTTCAGCCTAAACTTTTTTTTAATTAGATCAAGCCTTAATTAGGCTATTTTAATTTAAACAATACACATGTAGTATTTTTGTGGTTCCTCTAAATTGGTTTCATTCTTCTTCTTCTTGAGAATTACTTTTTAATTTCTGCAAAGACCAAAAAAAGGAGAAAAGGAAGAATATCACCAGAGCAACGAGGAAATGACTGTTAGTCATGAAATATACAGAAACAGAAACAAATATAGAATAATTCCACAAAGATGATTATGAAAGAAAAGCCATTTACAGAGAACAGATTAAATACTTACACTTTGTCGCGGACAGTGCATGTGGAAAAAAGTAAAAAATATCAAAGTAAGTTTAGTTGTGTTTTATTTCATATGTAGTAGCAAAACATTTATGAATTACTGAAACATTTGTAACTTGTTCTGCCTCAGTTACAGTGAGATGAACAGGATTCAGCACCT